ACTATTAAAATATTATTTAATAAATAGTTTACAATAGACTTAGTTTCTTGAAAATATAAATGATAACCCAAATTAAGATAAGTAGTTATTATTAGATAAACCAAGGTCAATCTCCAAACTCATAGTAAGTTTATTTAATTATTATAATATATTAACAAAATTCAGTATAATTAATAAAAATGAAAACAACTGTACTAGAACTTAACTAATGATTACTACCAAGGATATGTGAAAATAATATGTGGTTATATTAGAATAAAAGTGTACTTAAATACAGAAATATGTTGAATAAGATAATTGTGATTAGAAACTGATTATGTATTAGCAGTGAACTTGCATTTCTACGATCAACCATTTGAGCTATGTTTTTGAGATTGACCTTGGTTTATCTAATAATAACTACTTATCTTAATTTGGGTTATCATTTATATTTTCAAGAAACTAAGTCTATTGTAAACTATTTATTAAATAATATTTTAATAGTCTTTCAATAGTATTAATATACTGTAATAATTTAAAATGTATGTTATAAAATAATTTTATTCGAATATTATTATGCTCAAAATATCTTATTTTAATTATTAAGCAAGCTATAATTTACCACTTATTTTTAAATCTCAAATTTAATATAAGTAATTTTTGTTAATATTGATATAAGTAATATTAAAATATCTCACATTAATGTTTACAATTTATTTAATATAAATACAATTTAGTACAATATAAATATATATATTAATATGTATGTTATATATAATTATACTGTACAGGTATCATCAAAATAAACAATTCATGCAATTACCATGGTGTTATAGAGCCATCCCATCGGATACATTTACCCAGCACATCATCTGTAATTTTATTTTTAATAACATCCAACACACCCGACACACCTGTGCTCACATCTAACTGAGCTGCAGGTCCACCCATGTCCGTTTTCAGATGTCCCGGATTGATGCTAATCACAGAAATATTGTAAGGTTTGAGGTCTACGGACAGACATTTGGTGATCATATTGAGCGCCGCTTTACTCGTACGGTAGGGATATATCTTAAATAATGGGTTGGGAGGTATGTCCCGGCTTATGGACCCTAATCCCGATGACATGTTTATTATTGAGGTTTTGCGTTTAGCTGCAGATACCTAATGTATAAGTAAAATAAATATTTAGTAATTTTTATTAAATTAAATAGAATAAATTTAATGTTATAAGCAAATAGTAATCAAGTACAATTCTAGAAATAAATTATTGTGGGATGAAAGGATAATAAAAAATAATTTACAAAATATAGTAAATATTACTAAATATTAGACTTTAGAAAATGTTTAACAGCAAAATAATCATAAATAATTTAGTTTGATTATAAAATTGAGGCATTAATTTAGTTTTATATTAACCTAACCTATCGTAACACAAACCTTAAGCAATGGCAGCAATGCTTTGGTTAACATAAGCGGTGCCACAGAATTCACTTCAAACACATTCATCATATCCTCAGCGGTTACTTCATCGAGAAGTTTAAATAAACAAATCCCCGCGTTGTTTATCAAGGTATCCAATCCCTGGTCACCCACTATGGCTTCAACTTGTTTAACAAACCCCGGGAAACAGCTATAATTAGTGCCCTCCAGTTGCAGGACATGGAGTCTATTCGGGTGTTTGTCTCTGAGTTGATCCAACTCTGGGTGAGACGACTGACGAGTGGTTGCGATGACATGTTTGGC